TAACAGCACTTGTACAGGCTAGAGTGAGTGGTAGACAGCAAGTGGAGCATTGACGCCTGTACTGCGATGTCTGATTGACATTTGCACACCCCATAGAGTCAAGGATCATATATTCAGGTTAGAGTTGGAAGCATTATTAACTCCCAAGTCAAGTGAAATTTATTTAATGGCACTTTCAGTTATTTTGGTGCAATTTAGGTCACTGCAAGGTTTCACTTCTTCTGAAAACAACTATTCTTTGACAAAACGGAATCAATCAGTACGGTACTGGTTTGGCTGAAATTCAAAGCCCTCTGGACGTTTTTCAGAATTATTTTTAACTGGTCTCTTAATATTTCCCTTTCCCAACTCCTTTCTGTAGCCAATGATGGTTGCTGGAATACAGAGATTGTCCATGCGGTGTGTGGTTATCCAAATATGGCCGCCAAGCCTCATCTTTCACAATCACAATGACCAAACCCCTGCCTGCAGAATGACCCAGGCTATTCACAAGGAAGCACACTTACAAAGCTATGGGAGAAACTTACTGGGGCCTTTGGGAGTTGTGGGGTGGTGAGGGAGCAGATATTTGGGAGGGAAGGGAAGGGGTGAAACACATTGCCTTCCTGATGCCATGGGAAATTTCAGTAGTGGAAAAAGGTGGAGGACAGTTCTCCTGGCCAGAGATAAGTTGTGGGGGGGGTACTTCAATAACCAGCTAAGGACTAAAAAGGGCATTCCCATTAGTAATAGGGTTGGAAGGGAAGGTCAGAGAGAAAGAAAGAGAGAGATAGTAAGCGAGACAGTGACAGACAGCAAGTGGGGGGGGCCAGGGGCTGGGGGGTGGTGGGAGGATGGTGAGGAGAAACACAGACAGCACGCGCGGGAATAAATCCTCTGCTCTGACTCTATATGACTTGCTCCCAAGGGCTGCCCCTGACTGCAGCTCTGGGTTTGGTGAAGCCCCAGCAGTAGCCACAGCTTCCAGAGGCCCTGCTCAAATGAAGAACTGTTGATGTTCTCATTTCAATAGTGAATGGAGGCAGGAAGGGTTTCCACCCTTGCAAGACAGGCAGTCATCTGATGAGCCCAGCACTGGAGGTGGAATTTCTCCTGATTTTCCAGCCTGCCATCAGGGTCATTGTCACTAGCAATGAATTGGACTCTTTCTTTCCCCCATCACTCTTTCCTGGGATGAAGCCAGCATTTTCAGCATTTGTTGCTCATCCATAACTGCCCTTGAACTCAGTGGCTGGCCAAGCCATTTCAGACGGTGGTTAAGAGTCAACCATGTTACTGCAGGTCTGAGGTCACATGTAGGCCATACCAGATGGCGATGGCAGATTTCTTTCCCTAAATGATGTTTGTGACCTGGACAGATTATTACAATGATCAATGGTAGTTTCATGGATACCTATTAATTTTCAATCACACAGTTTTTAATTGAGTTTAAATTTCACCAGATGCCTTGCTGGGATTTGAACTCACGTCACCAAAGCATTAGCCTGGACCTCTTGGTTACCAGTTCAGCAATGTTACCATTAGGCCACCATCTCCTCCCATAATTATTGTTAGAAAGTGGAGTTATAATGAGATGCAACAAAATGTTTAACCTTGAAAGGAGTGCTTTCCACCTCAAAACAAGAACTGCAAATCTCAGGTTCAAACATAGTTTCTGAAACATTTGAAATGGGTTGAAGAATCCCTACAAATACCTGAAAAACAACCTCGGAGCTTGGGAACAACAAAATACACAGGCATTTCTAGGAATGTACAATGTCACAGATTCAGATTCACTTGACTCAAGAATTTATTTGTGAATATTTTGCTTCAATGCATTGGGGAGGCGGTGTGCAGCGGTAATGTCACTGGATTAGTAATCCAGAACCTGAGAGAAATGTGCTGGGGGTGTTGGTTCGATGGCAAATAGTAATATTCAAATTCAACACAAAAACTAGGGCAAGAAGTTATCCTAAAGGGTGACCGTGGAATCATTGTCAATGTTGTAGAAACTCATTGGTCTCACTGATGTCCTTCAAGGAATGCAATCTGCCATGCTTTCCTGGCCTACACGTCGCTTCAGGACCACAGCAATGTGATTGGCTCCAAACTGTCACCTGGGCAATTAGGGATGGGCAATAAATGCTTGCCTCACCGACAGCATCCACATCCGTGAATAATTAAAAATATCTGAGGTACCCTCAATTTTCTGTTGAGGTATTGAGTGATAAATATTGAGTAAGTGATGCACTCGCAATTTGTTTTATCATGGGAACACAGCAACCCATCAAGCTGTATGCAAACCAAATTATCCAGTAATGCTCACAGGCAAGTTTCCATTTGTCTTACATAATACACCATTTAGAAAGAATCTAAAGGGCAGGTTGGTGGAAGCCAAGATGCAGAGACTTCCAACACACTTGATGCTTTCCGTGACCAGTAAGCTCTGGCTGTAAATGATGTTATTATAATTTAATTATTTCTGCAATGGTGTTCTAATTATTATTGTTTCTGATATCTTGGAGTATTCACCTGGATACTTTCTGTGCTTGTCTAGTAACAGTGAGGTTAGTCACACTCATTTTTACAGTCTACAGACAAGTGAAATTCCAGCAAATTAAAAATATTCTCTCAACTGGAGACCTCTGCAGTGCACATCCATCAAAGGCTGCTGTAAATATAATTTCAAAATCAATTCTTACAAAGCCCCAAAGGCAAACACAGAGTGATTTTTCTTCTCCGTCCACGGGGAAAGAGTTTGATTTTCAGTCATATCGCAGATAAATCCAGTAACTCAAATGTATGCCGTATCTTACTACAGTGTGGCAATACACTGACTGCACAAAACTATGTGTCAACATAAAGACAGAAAAATGAAAAATTGGCCAATATGTCCTCTAAAAGCAGAAAACCACAGGAAATTAGTATTTCCAGCTTCTTTGGAAGTAGCCATCAAAACTTCGATTTGAAATTTCAAAAACAGCATTTGGCCCAAAGTATCAATAAAACAAAACGTCTCAACATTTTTCCAACTTGTGCAAGCTCGTTCTCGGAGATGAGGCAGGTTAACCCCTCCTTCTCATTTGGGTAACTTTTCCCTTTTCCAATATACCCATATTTCCCACAGCAGGAACATTCAAAGTTTAGGTCCTCAAGGGTTGTTTAACTGTGGGGCATGAAGGCTTATAGGTGAGATATAAAGTTTGATCTCTGCTTCTAATAATTCCCATATATCACAATCTGTTAAAGCAAAAGGTGATCCTAGCAAATCCATTTCAGATTTAACCACTTATGAACTACTAGTAGTAAGAACCACACTTCTGTACATTCAAAACCAGAGAATCTAAACACAAGTAACCAGTCAATAATAAATTATTAACATAGATAGAGCCAAGTGGTCTTGGTCAAAACTGACAAACGACCGCTTCAACACCTTCATCTAAAATAAATACTTCAAAATAACCTTTAAAATCTCTGCTGAGAGTTTGATTTTACTATCGTTCTGTACTTTATAAATAGAAAATACCATTACAATTCCAATATTAGGACAACTGATGAGGCCTCCCAAAAAGACACTTCCCACAGAAAAAACAGACACTGGTAATAAATTGCTTTCAATCATCTTGAAATGCATTGGTGCCATAGTCTTTGTGGTGTTTATTAGTGCAAGGAACAGAGGTGAAACCATTTCCAGTTTTGTAAAGGATTCCATTGCACTTTTCCATCACCTAAAGAACATTAAGGAGTTCCCCAACCCCCACCAGCCACCCCAACACACAGTCATTAAAACGTCGATGGAATCTTGCCGAGTGCTACATTGCTACAAGACATGCCAACAAAACAACAGTGACCACATTCAGTCCCTAGCTGGGAGACTAGGTGCCCCATTTAACAGGATTATATTTTTAGTTGAACTGCAAGTACAAAGCCTGACCAACACCTGAAAGAACTTTCAAAGTCACTGGCGGCAGCATCAAGTGCAGATGTCCATACATTTCCCAGTCAGCCTAACCAGAGGAAGTGCAACTTAGAAATCTGTTCACACAATAGTCCCGCACTCTGCACCAGACACACAAATGTGATTTTCTTTTTGTTCATCTGTTGGAACAGACTATCACACCACCCATCAGAACCACTGCTAGTCTGCAAAGGCATTGTGACAGTCGGGAATAATGAATAATGGACAGTAAATTGTCATGAAAATTTGTCAAAACCGTATGTTTGGTTGGAAGAATATGAATATTGAACTGATAAAACTTTCAGAAGGTAAATACTTGGCAATTTTAAAGCTTTTTCATGACCAGTGGACATCTCAAAATACACTACAGCGAATTAGATGCTGTTGGAGGGTAACCATCATTGGAACATAGGAAACATAGCAAGCCAGTTTATTTACAGCAAGCTCATCAACAGTGATATAATTTCTCTCGGTGGACACCAGGGATAACTCAACTGTTGTTCGATGCAGTATTATGGGATCTTGTACTTACACCTGACGGAACAAATGGGAAATCAATTTAAAACCCATTCAAAAGACAGAACCTTGCATCTCCCTCAGAACTGCACTACAGGATCAGCCTTGATTTTTATACTCAAGTCCTACAGTGGGGCTTGAATCCAGAACCTTGCGCTGAAATTGCTACTGACTGACCCATGGCTAATACAAAAAATACAGCAGATTTTATGTCAGTGATTTATTGAGTTTGTATGAAAAGAGAAGCTAGTAATTTGATTTTATTTTCATTCAAACATTCAAGACTTTTTCCGAAAGACTTCAAAAATGTATAAAGTATGATTCAAACAAAATAATCCAATCTGTATTTATTTTAAGGTTACTGTGAAAAATTGATGAATTGAAAGTTGCATTAGGAGCAGGGTCTGCTTTAAGAGATCTCAACAGACTGGCAATGATACAAGACAGCTACCAAGTCCACTTGGATGAAATTGTACCACATAAAGTGTCAAACATGAAGGTCATCAACTTAGACCCAGCAAGTGTTGAATAGTGCATCTGAACATACCAGCGCCATGTCGGGACTCACTGTACAACAGTATTACTTTCATCACAGAACAGCTCAATATGTAGCTGCTTTCCAACTTCAAGTGGCTGCACTCGCCAAGTTTAAATGCACACATTAAACACTGAATAGGGATTTTTTTGTAAAGTTGAGAAACTGCAAAGGGTTAAGGCTCAGACAGCAGCCCTCAAAAGATGGAAAAAGTAAAAGTGAGAAGCGAGGGAAGGCAGATCACCCTTGACATCGAGCAGTCCAAGTAAAAGTGAAGTCTATCGGAAGAGGTAAACTCCCCATTGGTTGGGGTTAATAATTTGTGCAAAGGAAGGTGATTGTGATAGTTAGAGGTCAGTCCATTCAGTCTCAGCACATCAACGTAGTGTTCTTGACCCAACCATCTTCAGCTGCTTCACCAATGACCTTCCACCCAATGCAAGGTCAGTAATGTGGAATGTTCACTGATAACTTCTGAACCATACACAATGTATTAGATCCAGAAGCAGCCTGTGCCTTCAGGCAGGAGGATCTGCCCAACATTCAGACTTGGACTGGTAATCGGAAAGTGATACCTGCACCAGGCAATGATCAACTCCAACAAAAAAAGAGATTCTATCCAACTCCCTTCGACACTCGGTGCATTACTAATCACCGAATCTCCCACCATCAACATCCTGGGAGCAGTCTATCCAGAGAAGTATTATTTGGGTTGGCCATGTATAATGTTGTGGCTACAAAAGGATGTCAAAGGTTTAGAATTCTGTAGCAGGTAACTCACTTCCTGTCTCTCCAGAGTCGGTCCACCATCTACATGGCAGATGTCAGGATTGTGATGGAATGCTCTCTGCTTGCCTGTTTGACTTTAGCTATAACACTGAAGAAGCCTGAACCATTCAGGGCGATTCAGCCTGCTTGATTTGCACTCCATTAACCACCTTACCCATTCACTCCCTCTGCTCCCAATGAACAGTGACAACAGTATGCACCAGAAACAACTGCAGCAATGTGTCACGGTTTCGCCAATGACACTTTCTAAATCAAAACGTGTACTACCTGCAAGGATAAGAGCAGCATTGAATAGGAAAAGCATTCTTCTTTGAATATCACTGTTCCTTCAGTGCTGCTATGATCCCCTCTGTAACAACACCTACACCATATTATGTGCAGCAGTTCAAGGTGGTTATGCACCATCACCTTCTTGAGGGATAGGTGATAAATGCTAATCTTTAACTAGCAATTGTTGGGAATAATAATTATGGATTTCAAAAGCCTACAGACGATTGTTAAAAGGGAGGGAGACAGAGAAAGTGAAGGAGCTTCAGCTTTGAGATTTTGGTGAGGAAGAAGTCATTGCTAGAAATGAGTGCTAATTTCCATACGTATGGAATATCCTGAGCAATAAGATGCGAAAGTGACTGATTAAGTGGATAAAGAAAATCATACATCCATCAGATATGAATCTTCTTTCATCTTGACTCAGTGGGTGAGGGATACATTAAACCTGAACTGTTTGATTCCCTGCAGCACCAAATGACTATTAAATCAGTCAGTGAAACCTCTGATTGTACGATAGTCAATACAATACAAAGTTCAATATGAAATTATTCTTGCAAGCAACAATTGTATTTCCATTGTATACGGCTAGCAGATTTTCTTTTGAAAATCTGTCAATAAAGGGAATAGGTTTACTTTCCTCAACTATGGAAGTCATTAAAGACACAAGGGGTGATTTTAAAATTCTCTTTTGCTGAGAATGAGTTTCGCTCACTTGAATGGCTCAACAGCGATTTGGACCCCCACTCAGTGCTTATCAGTCTATTCAATATTGCTTGCATTCTTTCATCAATGTATCTCAGGCTATGAGCAATTATTTTGGAGTTTCACAGGAATTTTTTTTAGTCCTTCCATTTTCTTATCCCTTCCCGCTGTAGCAGAGCCTCAAAATAGATGTATGTCTGAAATCAGAACCTACAGCTACAGAAACCAGTCTCCTGTCTGCAACATAGTGCAGCTATTCACTGTGGCCAGTTGCCAGCTATGACAATAGAAGACATTATAAATTCAGAGATATTCACAGTGCTGAAGAGTCCATCAGGTCAAAATTTTGTACCAGCTACACTGAAATGTGGACTGCCAACGTGGACATAAGCTGCGCTTGCTTAAGTTGATTTATCAACTGCGTATGAAAGCAGCAATCATTTCGAACTGCCTCAGTGGCCGAGCCTTTCCTCAGCTGGTATCTAACACATGCCAACCAATTAGCACCAGCAACTGCTTGGATACCAGCAGAGTTTGCCAGATTCAGAAACTTGAACAAATGCTGTACTGAAAATCGCGGTTATGCCAATTCATCATCTTCCTCTTGCCAATTTTGCCCGTTCACAGGAAACAACTGCTGCATGGTGTCTGATATGCAGCCATCAAAATTAACCAAAGGCTCAGCTCCAGTGTATGCACTTTTACAGTAAGGGTGCAAAAACAATGCCGAGGTTTATCCTCTGGTCTTCAGAGCAAGCCAATTTCAAAGAATCTTTCTTCAGAGATGACAGCACTGAAAATTTTTACTCAAAAAAATCCAAGGAGGTGGGAGTTTTGTTAAAATTAATCAATTGCAAATAAATGGTTTTCCTTTTCACTCTGATGCTCTTCAATAAAACAGGGCAGAGGATTTTCTATTCCAGTCCCACTTTCTAGTCTTCCTGAATGCATTACGTATTGACCAAATTTGTGTCAAAGGCAAAAGAAGAGTGGATTGGAAAACGAGTTGCTGTGATATTGTGCCTGAACATCAAAGTGTTGGGCATATCCCATGAAAGATACAAGCTAGTTGATCCTTAACAAAGCACGGAATAGCAATGCGGTCAGGAAATGAGAAAAACGTCCCAATAACAGCCATAAACGCTGAGCACCAGTCAACTGACATTTGAATTTGGACAAATGTATGGAACAACATTAAAACTACCATAAACGTTTTCTCAATTTCCTGACAATTCAAGCCAATAGAAAGGTGAATAATCCATAGTAATAAGGTACATCTTGCCTTCCACACATCTTGAAGACGTCAATTCTTGTTGTGGCTCGACTGATCAATGGCGGTACTCAAACAATCATGCAAGCCCTACCCTGTCATGACTCAAAGGCGCAACAATATTTTCAGCATAGAGTCATAGAGATATACAGCATGGAAACAGACCCTTTGGTCCAACTTGCCCATGCCAACTAGATATCCTAAATAAACCCAGTCCCATTTGCCAGTATTTGGCCCATATCCCTCCAAACCCTACATATTCATGTACCCATCCAGATGCCTTTTAAATGTTGTAATTGTACCACTTCCTCCAGCAGCTCATTCCATACACACACCACCCTCTGTGTGAAAAAGTTGTCCCTTAGGTCCCTTTTAAATCTTTCCCCTCTCACCTTAAACCTATGCACTCTAGTTTTGGACTCCCCACCTGGTCTACTTACGCTATCCATGCCCCTCATGATTTCACCTCAGCTCCAACACTCCAAGGAAAATAGCCACAGTCTATTCAGCCCCTCCCTATCACTCAAACCCTCCAACCCTAGCAACATTCTTGTAAGTCTTTTCTGAACCCTTTCAAGTTTCACAACGTCCTTCCTAAAGCAGGGAGACCAGAACTGCATGCAGTATTCCAATTGTGGCCTAACCAATGTCCTGTACAGTCGTAACATGACCTCCCAACTCCTATACTCAATGCACTGGCCGATAAAGTCAAGCATACCAAACACCTTCTTCACTATCCTATCTACTTGTAACTCCACTTTCAAGGAACTATGAACATGCATTCCAGGGAGGGTGGCACATTGGCTCAGTGTTAGCGCTGCTGCCTCACAGCGCCAGGGACCCGGGCTCAATTCCACCCTCGGGCAACTGTGTGGAGTTTGCACATTCTCCCCATGTCTGCATGGGTTTCCTCCGGGTACTCAGTGTCCTCCCATAGTCCAAAGATGTGCAGGCTAGGTGCACTAGCCATGCTAAATTGCCCGCAGTGTCCAGGGATGCGTGGATTAGGTGGGTTATAGGGGGATGGGTCTGGATGGGATGCTCTGAGGGGCGGTGTGGACTTGTTGGGCCGAAGGGCCTGTTTCCACACTGTAGGGATTCTATAATCTATACCTCTGGCAGTCACTAAGAGTAGAACTCTGGCTATTATTTTTCCATTCCTTAACCTATGGAAAAGGTTGATTATTGTATCACCTTTCCATTACAGCTGACACCTCGGGCAGCCTGCAAGCCTGGTACAGTCCTGGCTTTGTATATCTTTGCACCAGGACAATGTCTCTGGGAACTCAAAGTAATGCCAAAATCTTCCAGCTTGCAGCTGTACTCATTTTCGTCTTAATGGGAATGTTAATTAGTTCTAAAATACGGAAAAAATCTTCATCCAAATCAATTTTAATGATATTGGACTTAGAGACAGCTTGTTTGATTAATACACCATCATGTTTTACCACTTTGAGGAGAAACAGAATCACCAACGACCAGTGGAAGAGAGTACTGTGCAACACTGATGCCAGCATAGAACATGGACTGTTCAATCGCTCTAGATTCCAAATAGGCTGTGCCCAAGGTCATTACTTCATTGGCTAAAGTCAGTCAAGACATTCAGTTGAGACTGCAACTGATGTCATCATGAAGAGCAGAAGTTGGAGAAACATGGAATAGCCTGAGGTGGAGACTGTTAGTGAAACAGCATTCTGTACTACACTGCAGGAAGGTATATGGTGTGAATAGAGAGTTGAATTTACTTTACCATGACTACATTCAGGTCACTGGTAGAGCAGAAAAGACAAGGACAACCATCAAGTTGACCATAAGGAAACTGGGACAAACCTATCCTTGGATTAAGGGCAGACCAGACAAAGTGCAAATCTCCAATCCCCAATCAATCCCATTGCAAACTATCACAGGCATGCTCCCATCTTATATGATTCACTGACCAGCTTGAAAGGCCACTTCAGCTGGTATGGGAATTGAACCCACATTGTTAACA